TATCCAAAACATACAAGTTTCATTTACATAATTTTTCAAGGGATCTTATATCTGTTTTCACTCTTGTATGCTTTTCATACAAGTTTCACACAAGACAGATACAAACTTTATAAGATTTATATACATCTTTTCCATATGGGTCTGCAGACATCCTTCACATGTAACTGTTTATCATGTTTCCAGAGGGTGGAGGACATGTTGGAACCACGGGACTACAGAATCTAGAGAAGCAGCATAAAAACAACGTCTTAAATGTATAAGACGTCCACGACAACCCCTCCAGTGGACCAAGATTGGACGCCCAAAAATGACATATAAAAGACGTCACTCCGAAGTCACAACGGGTAGCCAATGAGAAGAAAGATGCCTTTAAGAGAGGACGGCCTTAAAAAGCCAAAACTGCTTGTTTCAGACAGAGGATGAACTATAAAGGCTCCCAGGTCCCACTATAAAACAAATAAGGATTATTTTAAATGGTGACTCATGCAAAGCTACTCTAATAGAGTCCAAAAATAAAAATGAGAAGTTGGAAATCAGTAGAACTGGATGTTATGTTCAGCATGAGATGCAGGTTCTTGGCTTCTGCAGCTGCAATAAATCTGTGCAGGAGATAACCAAGCCCGACTAGGAAAAGTGTGCAGCATAGACTGGAATGTCAGACCTCTCCTGCTCATGACATATAAAGTACAGATAATACTGAGGATATAAACTATACAGCATGAAACCAGGCTCGGTTATGAGTTATTATAATTATGTTCAGGGTTTTACTATAAAAGTACAAACTGAAGCTATGATGCTATGCTAGAAATCTTTCTATTGAAAATCGAGCGGTTTCAAATCTACACTGTTTGTCTTTGCTGCCCCAGAATGACAAAGAGAAAGCTGAAATAAAATAATAGAATCACGTTTTAATAGTTTTGCCTCCCTAATGAGCGGAACGATCCTCATGTTGCAGAGACAATGAGGGAGTACCTTAAACTTGCATTATTTTTAAGGGCCAGCAGGGGGCGACTCCTTGGCTGGCAAAAAGTCTTGATATGGTGTGAACTTTGTGGGCCCATTCACTGGTTTCAAGCCACACTGAACAAACCACTGAGTTCATTTTGTGTATTTTTGTCACAATCACAGTCAATCACAGGGGATAAATCAGGAAATGCTTAGAGGCTTAAAACCTGACAGTCACAAGTTGCTAGCCGAGGAACACAGTTCCTCTCAGCCGGTTAGTCCATCGCACACTCATCACATCTGGTTTCAAAACACACAACATGAGTCTTCCCAACAGGAGAATTCAAACCAACTATTGTGGCGATGGCACTGTGGCTACGTCCAGATTTAGGTCAAGTTCATTGTAAACACACACAGATGCACAATTACTGGCTTGAAATAACAGATGCAGATCCATGCATGCTGTGGCGGGGTGTAGCTCAGCTGCAGGGGTGCAGCACATGCAGGCACACACACGCACATCCACACGCATGCATACAAGTTTAATGCTGCACTAAATCTACAAGCACAACTGCTACTTTCAACCTCATTATTTTTCATTTTCTGCCCTTTGTTTCTATGTCTCTTATTAGCTGATGGTGCAGAACTGAGGCACAGCAAGGATGAGCTTGCACGCTCCCGTCTTTCTCTCTCACATTTTTGCTCTTTCCACAAACACACACGCACACCCCCTCTAGGGTGCAGGAAACAGGACAGTCCCTCTATTGTAGGGGAGACAGCTCCCAGCACCACTGGGAGAGGAACATTGATTTCCTAACAGGCTATTTCTGGCCACTTAAATGCAGGAATTCACTTTTTTTTTAAAATACAGGAGCTTTCAAAGGCACAATGTACATCCTGTGTGTGTGTGTGTGTGTGTGTGTGTGTGTGTGTGTGTGTGTGTGTGTGTGTGTGTGTGTGTGTGTGTGTGTGTGTGGACAATAAAACCTGATATATTTCCGCTAACTTACATAAATACTAAAGTATGGTGAAGTTCAAAAAGTTCAAAGAGGCCAGAGAAAACACATAAAGCTCACTTTTTTAAACTTTCCTGATAAACACTGAACAATCACCGGCTTCTCCCCATAAAAGAACAAAGTCTTTGAGACAGACCAAAGTTATAGGAAAACGCCATCTGGATATATCTTGATGCGCGCTCAGTCATCCAGGTCAGGAAAGTTATTCTGTTCATCCATTTTACATTTTTTTAAAACTTTAGTCCAGATGAACAGAATCAACTTTTTGGGGGCCTGCTATATACTGCTCCTTCTTATTAGCTGGAGACCCGTTGCCTCAAGCTCTAGTTTCTTTATTACAGCTAGCTTGTCGATTAAGCTAACGTTAGCTCCATAAGCTGTTTAAAAACACAAAATTGGATTTCTTACTTGATGACCGAACAACAATGTGCTGAAAAAGCCAGTTGTGAGCATCTTCAGTTGTTGACATTTACATCAACTAGACTCAGGAATGTTGAGGTTACTATCTACACAAGTAGACTTAAAAAAAATTAATTTAAATGATGAACAAACCCAAGTGCTCCAAAAGAAAAGACCATGCAATGCTTTTAAAGGGTAAACAATGAAACCCCGAATACAGGACTGGAAATGATCAGAACACATCTGCTGTCAGTTTATAGTATATTCGTGATTCTATCCATGTTTAAGAAAAACAAGTAACTACAGGATTTTAAGGTACAATAGGTAACCAAATTTGCCACATTTTTCACTGGATAAAGAGGAAGACTATGAAACAGAAACACACAAAAAGTAACTCTTGGATTTGTTACCAGGCATGTCATACGAGAATGTCATAGCTAGATGAACATGCTAGCATGCTAGGGGTTTTGGAAAGGTAACAAAAAAAGGAACCACCAAACACTTAACGCTTGTACTGCCACATGTCTACTGCTTTAACTCATGGATCACGATTTACAGGACTATTAACCAAAAATAGAAGAAATCAAAAGAGCAGTTTTTCTTCAACATGCATGCAAAAAACGAAAAAATAATAAATGTGTTTTTCCATTTACATCTAAACAAATTGGTTGGCCTGTCTTCTTGCTAGTATGTTGAGCATCAGCAGCAAAATTGTGAGTGAACTGAGGCCTTTTGTGTCCAGAATTTGGGCTGAAAATTTGTCATAATGAATATTGGGGGGGAAAAGCTATCTTAAAACAACATTAAGGATCTCCAACAGCATTCAGGAAAGTGACAATGAAAAATAAGTCTGTTCAGCAGAGTCTACACTCATAGCGACACATGATGAGGCATTAATAATTCAGCATTTCTACTGTCAGACTACATAAAGGGCTACTACAGTCAGGACTACTGTAGTCAAAACAGTTCTGGGAAAGGAGGAGCAACATCCGAGCACAAAACAGAGCAGGTATCAAGGACAAACGATATGACTAAGACAAAAACTGCATGAAAGTTGTCAACCCACCTCCAAGCGGAGGTGGGTTGCAAAGTGGCTTGCAGATGTGCTTGCAGCAAGGCTAAAGCTCTTTAGAGAAAAACATATACAGATTTTCCAAATGTGAAACCACATGTAAAAAACTGTCAC